GAAGCTTTAAATCGAAATACGCCCATTTTTTTACAAACTAACCAATGGGGCTCTCCCGTTGGAGCTACGCCCACTATTCGGGGTTCAGCTCGTCTTCAATGGCCACGCCCCCGTCACCCACGTGGTCGGCGGGCAGGGAGAGTCGCCGCGTGCGAGCGTGAGCGTCGTGCCGGGTGGTCGAGGGGTCCTCGACGCATTTGGCAACCAACCACTTCCACGGGAGGCAACCCAAACACCAACACGCACTAAGCCCGCCTCCTCCTCCCAGCCCCGCCCATGCAGCAGTCGCCCCCTCGTGGCGCACGCGAACAACACCGCAGCATTAATGAACTCTGCCAACAACACACGCACAGCCCCCCACACCCTACCCCTGTTTGTTAATCCACTGCTGGACGGTGGCCTCCCCCCACGCATGTGCGGATCGTGGAGGTGAATTGAGCGTGGGGAGAACTGCACTTCCACGTGTCTCCCGCAGCATCATTCACAGTCCCACGACGGTACAATCATTGCAATTTACGGCCCACTAATTAATCATTTATCGGGTGATAAAACTGACGATTTACAGACCCATGAAGTCTCTTGTCGAATAGTTTGTTGAATGCAATTACTGCCGTAAAAACAACTCGCATTCGTCAACAACATTTTGTGACCTTTAAAGGAAAATATATAATCGGCGACGTTTCGACTACACACACACACGTGTGTGCTGATGCATAGCTGTCAACCCATACGGTTTACCTGCATTCTTGTACAGGAAAATTGAGTTTTCAGGTCAATACGGCGTACAGCCGTTTCAATACGGACAAAATTTTTAGTTTTGTGTATTTGTTTGTGTTTCTCCCTTGTGATGGGACTTTGTAGGATGAACGTTGAGATTTGTAAGGGCACGGGGTGACCACTACGGTCTGAGTTGGTCTGTAATGAGGTAGGCACTGATAAGGGGTTGACAGGTATGCTAATGTGTGTGCTATGAAGGAGGGTCATTGCCCGAAACGTTGCCACGCGGTTGCAACTGTTTGCCGAACATCCCATGTTGACTGGGACACGCGTTCATGTGTAGTTCATTGCACGGTGGAGTCCACGCATATCACCACGTGGCAGATTCAGCCGGGGATGATTATGAACCGAGTTGTAAACACCAAACCAAACTGTCATCCTCCGAGGTTACACGGAGCCGTTCGATTGATGTTGCGCGTACGTGGATCAGTCCCCGCGATGTCATGGACACAATGGACTGTGTGCACGTGTTATAAAGAAGGGCCCTCTTCATATATCATCCACTGCTGGACGACGGAGGGCCTTAAGCACAACGTGCAGATCAGTCGTGGTGATGAATAGTCCGTGCGACTGCCTCAGGTAAGTCGTGGTGATGAGGTCCGTACGACTGCCTCAGAGCGGACTGAGAGGGGAAATACCGTACAGATATAAGAACAGGTTTTACTCTCGCTGGAAAGAACACACAGGTGTTAAGATGTTAAAACACAAAACTTGAAACCTTTTGCAGGGAACCATGTCTGCAGTATCCACATATACCCGTGGTGAACATGCAAACAAAAAACATGCTCTCGTCGTAAAATGTTTCAGTTTGTAGCTTTAACATCTTAACACCTATTATATTCTTGGTTCTTTCGGTAAAGTCACGTAGAAGGAAAATAATAAAATAATAAAAATATAAAACAATAAAATTCTCACGACGTCTCGACTGCAACACAAGCAATCATCAGGTGTGAAACCCACAGCAAGAACATTTTATTGGTGATGAAGTCCGTACACGACTGCCTTGCTGTGGATTTCACACCTGATGATTGCTTGTGTTGCAGTCTAAACGTCGTGAGAATTTTATTGTTTAATATTTTTTATTATTTTATTATTTCTCTTCTACGTGACTTTACCGAAAAAACCAAGAATATTAATCCCTGCAGTCACGAAAGCTTTATATCATAATCTTAACACCTGTTTCATTGACAGACAAATCGCTAACCTTAAAATACAGTCGTTCATAAAAGTTGAAGGCGGTATAGTACTATAGTAATAGAGCTAGTGCAGAATCATTGAACCGGAATTTATAGCTGAAAACATTTAGCGCGTGGCTCTTGAAAGTGTGGGGCCCGTAGCATTTGCTACTTGTGCTACTAGAATGATCCGGTATACTGGGACCAGCAGCCAGTTTCGCACATCCGACCGCTTATCCAGACTCCAGCCGCAGCTGAGCTCTCAATATCAGACGAACACAGTCGCATTCCGGGCGGCGGTGGCGACGCACGTGGCCTGTAATCCAGCCCTCGTGGAGGCAGCGAACATGGGTATAGTACGCCTGTTGGCGTCGTCTGGTCCAACACCATGTGAGACTAGGCTCTAAAAAAAGCTGTCTCGGGTGTGGACCAATCAACTTCAAGGACAGTGTATATCATTATCAGTTATTTCTTTTTGTTTGCATTTTGACTGCTTGTGTTGTGGTTATTGCAAACATGACCTCTTGTATAAAGGTGTCAGTTTTTGTACCAGATGAAAGGGTAAAAACCTATTACTATTGGTGGATGGCACAAGCATTGTGAAACTCCCTCCCCATGGGTGTCGAGGGTGCTGTACTCTGGCGCGTCAGGAGATGGCGGTACAGCCAAAATGTGGCCTCCTCCACCAGTCCCGCCCGTACCGGATTAGTCATCACCTCGCAGGCGTGAGCATTCTCCAGGTGATCGGCTTGAATCCCACATATAAACACTCGTTCATTGACCGACAACACCTTCATATAGAGACACAGTGGTTCTCAACCTTGTCTGGCTACTGATGAAATTATTTTTAACCCTTGCCTGACTCAACCTGGTTCTGAGAAATAAATGAATGAAAAATGAACACCTATACTTTAACCAACTGTCCATTTAATGAGGTTATCCTAACGAGCCACGAACTGCGAGGGAAATAAAATAACCAGCGACCGCTCTGCATGCGAAATGTAATTTGTTCTCGCTCGCTGGTTACTCCTGAAAACGGCATTGTTTACGATCATTGCGTTTAGAAATGCCTTTTATATCGTTATGTTACCATACGGATTTAAATGTTATCGTAGTTATTTTATATTTCCAGATTCGTACGTGATATTTCAACCAATTACTCATGTACTGTATATTTCATGCATGTATAAATCACCTCGCGTTCCCCCAGGTGGGAGTACCACCTCAATAGAGGAGCGCAGAGCTGAGACAATTTTGGCGCCTGCTCATTATAATTTGACAGCCTTCCCCATTCTCGGCGTCGCTCGCTACGAGGCAACGCTGTGCAGCGGCACAGTTACAAATTGATATTTCGTGCGATTCGGTCACCTGTACACAATGTCCGTGTCTATGCATGCACGGGGTTGTTCAATGATAAAACCGATAATAAACAAGTCTCAGAATCCGTTACCGCTTCTGAAAGCCAGGAACTGGGAACAGTTTCCGGCGGGATGAGTAAAGAATGTTATTGGCACGCGCGCAACGTACTAACGATACAGCGGGTCCAGTCACGGCGTGACGCATTTCAATTATTCAAACAGCATTTTTTTATTTTACCAGGTAAGGGCCACTGCACTACATAAATGTCAGAAGCGACCTATCCGCAAATGATAGCTCAACGAAGTGGCTTACTACATGAAATTGTATAGCACCCAACTACTCTTCAACGTATGTTATGTTTAAAAGAGAAACCGGAAAACCTGGAGAAAAATCCACACGATCACATGCAAACTTCAAATATACAGCAGGCGTCAAGGGTCGGGGATCGAACCCACGGCGTCGTGCATAGCAGGCGAAAGAGTTGGTAAGAAGCGCAATTTAAATATCGTCCAGGAGCCGAGTTGTTTGTACCATTGTCGTACTTTGTATTGCGAAAGCACACATTAAAGCATTACCTTTTACGAATAACACACACACACACCTGTATTTACAAAGGTCACAGGTACAGTGCATTCCTCTTCTTCAGCAGGCACCCGTTAAGATTCATATATCCGTTGCGGTTCAATCCACCCTTTTGGCTAGTATGGCAATGGTCATTTTCAAAGAACTATTTTGTTGCTATAGAGGACCATCGCTCAAAACGTCACCTATACCTTCCCCTTTCAAGACCAGTGTTATCGATGAATGTGTTGAGTGTTTTGTTGTGCTGCTTATGCACCACTGCAAAAGAAGCGGCATCACCAAATAACTGAATTCAGATGTATTGATGAACTAATCAGGCACAGCACATGTCAATTGGCGCAATGTGGTGGCAATAAACCTATTGACCACGCCGAGACCACTTGGGCAGCGCCATCTTGTTAGCGCTGTTCGTAAAATACTTCAGCAATGAACCATGACCGTTCCCATTAACTTCCCTCATCGATTCCTCCTCTATGTTGAGGACGCAGCCTACCGGACTTCGTTTCATCTCATGCAACGTTCACTCAACACTGCGTATCACAACACACTCGCCCACCGACTCAAAAAACTTGCTTCATCTGCTCACCCACTCACGATAGGTCACAACTCTCCTTCCCTCACTCTGAAAATCACTTTCATCCCCTATTTTTCCTAAGCTATAACCTCTTTTTCAAATAAAGTATAATATAAGTATCCATTATAACGTCAATAATGCGGTTTGTTTTTGACTGCTTGAGAGGGTTGGACTTTTGAGTTTGTTCCTCAGCAACCACGACTTAAGAAAGAATATTTGCTGCATGAAAAATTAAAATCTCAAACCAGGCCATCGCTTGACATTCGCGTACCATTCCACCAAGCGGAATTGCAGCATTGCACAACCGCCGTCTCGCAAAGAAATTGGACACGACATGCCAACAACAACCGCGCACGTTGGTACAAAGCATTTTCAAACATTCCATTAGTCCGGCTCTCTCCCATTCTTCTTCAGCTGCAGCAGTGGCCCTTTCACAGACAACTCAAGCGAAAGAAAACGCGGTGGAGGCGGGCATCCGTTAAAAGCTGCAAACCAAACATCAGAATGGCTCAAAGACGACTCGGGGAAAAGGATACTGGGATTTTTTTTTATTTTGTATTGATTCTGAACAAAATCAAGGCATGTGCACAGAGATTTTACTTCAGCGGGATAAAACGGGAAGAGTGGGTGGCACCGATACCGGGCCGACCGTGCTTCACGGGCTTGTAGGTGATGGAGAACTCGCCCAGGTAGTGGCCAATCATCTCGGGCTGAAACAAACACAAGCACACCACAATTATTTACACCCAGGCGAGAGTCCACCACCACGGAGATTAAATCTTTTTGCAAACGAGACGAAAGGTAAACACGAGCAGGATTATATTACAAGTGTACACATTCGTAGGTGGGAGGGGGACAAATGCCACACTGAATTAGCAGCATTTTATTGCAGCCTATACCTTTACACACATTACACAACCCACAGGCAAATTCAAGTTGATTTTGTTTAACCAGGTGAGAACTGGAGCCCAGGAATAGTCTAATTTGCAAGCGTGCAAATGTGTAGGTGACCTATTAACTTCATTCATCAATAAAGATTAGTATCATAACATACGAAGCTATACTGTATTCTTAAATAGAATCGTGGTAAGAGTTCTACCTGTATCTAAACATAGAACTGGCCAAACAGAGTGCTCAACGCAGGACACTTCTCAAAGTCTTGAGACTCAATGCGGTTTCCAGGGTAAAAGGCATTATTATTATTACTGCTGCTGGCCTTTTGTAGCTGCTTTGAAAGCACTGGGGATTGATGAGCCGCACAAAGCTTTTCAGAAAGCCTCTGGGTACGAAGAGGAAGCCTCCAGCAAACGGGAGATGCTCATGGTTTGCCCCACTAACTTGAAGTGTTGCCATTAAGCATATTCATTTAGGAATGCCAAACATAAAAAGAAAACATTTAAGTGAACTTTCCAGAAAAAGACTGAGGCATCGCCATTATAAAGGCCCACAATAAATCAATCCGCTTTTACAAGGGATTAACCCCAGCAGACAAGCAGTGGGCTTTTCAGCCGGCTTGGCAAACGTACGCACAACTAGATGCTGCCTTACTTTGTCTCGCTGTGCAAACAGCTGCAGCTCCCACTCCGTAGCAGTGGAGCTAGGCCATCACGACTTAAACAAATAGGTTTAAGACCAAGAGACCCTTCGAATTTTAGGTATGATTCTGAAATAATATAAACGTACGTCATCCAAGGTGAGCGATTCATAATTATCAATGATAATTCAAAACACAACTTGCCATGTCATGGACCCTGCTGATAAAAACCGAGTTATATATTTTTCTATTGTATAGAATTGCGGGCATGGCAAACAATCCTTACAAATTATGTACTATTGTACAAGCGCCCCTCAAGTAATGCGCCCCCCACCAGAGCACGAATTTGCAGTTACACGATTCATCTTTAAGGAACATACTTCACACTTATGCTATGTGTTTCAGTTACGTGCTCAAGAAAAAAAACTGAATAGAAAACTTACATTTTTTTTGTTAAAAATATTTTTCAAATAAAACAATGTAGCACGTTATGCAAAGGACGTCTGTATTTGATAGTTAGGCCACTTGAATGAGTTCTGTTGCGCTTAGCCATAGTTCCCACTTCTCTAACGTTCAAAATGTTTGTGCAAGGTTTTATGAACTTGGAAGAAGACGGTAGCAGGGAACGAGCAGTGCGAGGGGTGAAGCTGTAGTTGGATTACAAGTCCTTTACAATTCCATGACGTACATGTACTTCATCGGAACAGAATCTGGGAGAAAAAAATAAAATAACTTAATCGGTACTGAGGCTCCCACAAAGCCATGCGGGAGGACGTGGCAGTTTGGCACCAGCTATTGCTAGAGTGCGATCGTGTTGCTGCAGTTCTCTGCGGTGAGTACAATGCCTTTAAAAACAGCGGCGTTATACGGTTAGCGGTTAACGCCAACCGCTTGCGCGTTCCGAGATTCAGGGGTGAACAGGACCCACTCTGCAACTTGCAGACGTCTCAAAGGGTTAAGTGACGCCGCTGCTTTAGTTTTCATGTGGGATTAGAATGTATCATTCAGGGTCAAGTTTGGGGTGATGTGTTTAGAGGATAGATGTTAAGGGTTTAAGACTGTAGTGTCTAAGACTGCCCATTGGTGAAACTGTCCTTTGGCTCAACTGCTCAATGGCTCAACTACCAAGCTGGGAGATGGAATGAAATTAGAGTTTATTTGATTGGTTACACGGTTGGTTCCCAGTTTATCCAGTTTCCCGGCTATTTTACAAACGAGATACGTTGAGCCCAAGCACAGCCACAACAGGTTAAATCGGTGACCTGTGTATTGCCAGTCCAGTATGCCGACCATTACACCCGCAGCAGCGAGGGAGACCGTAGCCTCAGCCCAAAATAACAAAAGCACGAAGAAAACTTTTTAGTACCTTGACTTCGACCTGGTTGAAGGTCTTGCCGTTGTACACGCCCACCATGCTGCCCACCATCTCGGGGATGATGACCATGTCACGCAGATGCGTCTTCACCACCTCCGGCTTCTCCAGCGGTGGCGCGTCCTTCTTCGCCTTGCGCAGGCGCTTCAGCAGAGACAGCTGCTTCCGGCGCAGCCCGCGGTTGTACCGTCGCCGCTGGCGTGCACTGAACATCTGCATCAGCTGCTCACTGCGTAGTTCGCACGCGATCACGGGGAGACACAGGCACGCACGCGGCACACAGAAACACAACATCAGATTAAGGGGTATCGGAATGTCATCTTACACAAAATCAAAGATCCTTAAGGGAGTGCTTTTCTTTTGCAGCACTGTTTCCGGTCAGAAGCAGGAGATAACTTTCTTTCATTCAGATAAAAAAATCCTTATTTTATCATGTTTTCCAGTAAGCATTTGTTATGGACACAATTTTCATCGGTCCTATCGATTTTAAAAGACACACGCAAGAGGATATCCAACGAGGGAGATGGATCAATAAAATCAGCTTGTGCGGAAGTACTAGGTGGATTATTACATTGCATGATAGTCTTCCATTCTTGTATGGCAATATAATGTTCAGGAGCTAAATGCCAATATCGAGGTCTGCTCGTCACAAAGAGAGGGTTTCAGGAGAGTTCGTCTAGTTTTCCTATTCCTCCATTGAAGGAGTGAAGACTAGTGGTTCATAAATTATTGCATGGCCACAACCGCACTACTGTGGCTTGTCTTTAATGCATCTCTTTGTATCTTCGAGTCTCTATGTATCCGTGGGTTTCCAATATGGTCTATAGTTTGGGTTGCATGGCCACAATCACACTACTATGGCTTTTCTCTATAGCTCTACTGATCATATATTAACGACATCCACTTTACCTAGATGACTGTTCTGTTTAAGGTAACATGAAAAGTATACCGTCTCCCACCCAGCAGAATAATGAGCGGTGGGGGCGACTTGGGAGAGGCCATCAGATCATGGCTACTGATGCTGAAGGCAATGCCGACATGGTGAGTTTCATGCCACAGAAATAGTTTTGAACACGGGGATAAAGACCGCTTCCCTTTCTCCCAACCCTCTCCCCCACACCATTCAAGCGTCACAGTAACTCTAGCCTGTGGTTCCCATTGCCGGCCTTGTTAATAACCAAAGGCGCCATTGAGCTGGAAAGCCGAGCTGCTGGGCTACGGACATTTGAAAGCCACCGACCTGAGGGGGCACTCAAGCACACATCGCTACAGGGTCAGACCGAGCTCCTTTACTGCAGGAGCAATGTTAACGTTTCGCTCGAACAATAATGCGGTTTTGCCCCCTACAATGGAAAATTCAGTGGAATAGAGCCACAGCCGCCTTGATACATGGCTCTGTGAAAGGCTCCTCCCACGTTTTTTAAACTCCCTCCCCGCAATAGTATTCAGATTGAGCTGTGTCACATCGTCAAGAGACGACGTATCCATTTGGATCTCTCGCAGAGCGATGCTACGCTTCACGCTGTGGAAGCGGATGTCATAGAAATACCTCAGATCCCTTCAAGTGACCTTTTAATCCACAGTAATGGGGCAGCACTTTCCCACTCACTCTACCAATAACAGAAATGTTCTTCACATGAGAGTCAAACTAATATTTTTCAAACTTCAGGGCTGAAATTGTGTCTCATAAAGTGCAATTAACATGACGTTTTTGCTGTTGTTGTGAAGTCATTGGTGACCATGCTGAGACCGTTATCTCCACTACAACCTTGGTTTAATCACACGCAGGGCCCGAAGCCCGGATTCAATCCCAACATCATAGCATTGATAGCTCGACGCTCGAATCTCCAGAGCCACCGGGCAACCTCCGGAGTCACCACTCGCCTGAGACGTCCACCCACGTGACCGACTACTCACTTGGACATGTCCAGCAGCTGGTCCAAGTCCACGCCGCGGTACGTGTACTTGCGGAAGGTGCGCTTCTTCTTCTGGTCGCCTTGATCCGCCTGCGAGGGACGGCGCAACCAGTTAGAGGAGACAAACACGCCGCCTGACTGGCACATGGATATGCCTGCTGCTTGTGTAACACTTCACATGAAATGCATAGTAATGACAGTATAACATGCAGGTATCGTACGAGGCGGACGCCACGGTCCCCGCAGATTCATCGCAAGTAAGTACGAGTCCCTGACCCGTTATCATCTTTACGTTTGGCTCCCCAGAAAGGCCCGATTCTCAAGACACATTTTCAGGAGGGTCCTACCGAGTTTTTGCAGTCGTGGCCGACGCTGCTGCTGCGTGTAACCCCAATTGCGTAATTTGCAGGTAACTTTTTATCAGTCATGTACAGTATTGGGAAAATACCAGTAACTGTGTGCTAGTTTGTTTAATCGATTCAAGGAAACGGAACCTGGAGCAATCCCATGCAGAACACGGGGAGAACAAGCCCTTCACAATACCAAGGTGAACGGAATCTAGAATAAAACCCAGGTAAGTGTTACAAATGCGCCGCCGCCCAAAACTCTAAATAACCACTGGGACTGTGTGCTAACTTGTGTCTTATTATGGACACAGCGCATGCGAGAGACCCGAACTGTTAAGAGAACCAGGCACCGACCTCAAGTGAAACCAATTATTTGATGGTGCTGCTGCTGCTGCGTTGTGGCAGTGGTGCACGGGTACAAGTAACAAAAACACCTCAACAGCACCGCTTTTAAATATATAAAACTGCCGACGTTTCGGGCAACGGCCTTTCTTCATAGCTCACATTAAAGCGTCTTCCAACTCCAACCACGCGTGCAGGTCAGCGCTAATCCTATACATATATTTTATGGCCCCGAGCCGATGATGGAAATTCCACATTCCCATGCCGTGGTACCGGTCTAAGTTATTTTCCGGCCTCAATTTTGCGACCAATTCCTTTTCCAAAGCAACGGAGAGGACAAAAGTCAAATGAGAATAACTGCGAACGTTATCCATATCGACTCTTTATAAATTCCATGGGATGGGGGGGGGTAGCGGTTGCAATGTGGTTGTTAGTACACTGCCCTATGAACGCGGCCCAGACAAAACCTCCCTCACCAACCCGCCAGAGTGGACTAGCGTGGTCAAACTAAAACTCTTGAGATCCCCGCTCTGTCTTGACATGCGGCGAGGTCTTCATCAATAGTGGATTGACCAAGGGGCTGAAAGCTACGTAAAACGTAAATGTATATACTACGACGACAGCTTCACTCACTCCCTTGAGCACTATCCTAGCACCGTATAGTACTGTACACTCGAGTCTATTGCAATCAGTAAAAGGGGTAGGATGAGACTATCCTGAGGGGATTTTAAAAAGTTCCAAAAATATAATTCAATATTAAAAATAATATAACAATTCACAACCGCTCGCCGTGTACAATAAAACTACATTCATAACCACGTAACCATTGAACATCGCTACACTCAAGAGGAAGCCTCGCCGACAAGGCCTTGCCGATAAGGCCGCGCCGCGCACACTAACCATATTGAGACAAAAACACAATATTCCGACGCCATCCGAGACAAATGAAGGCGCGAACGCGAGCGAGGGGATCCTTCCTTCGCGGGGATATGCGATAGAAGTCGCTAGGAGAGACAGGGAAGGCGATGCTAAAGGATTGGCGAACGACGCCGAAACACCACCATACTCACCATCTTGGAGGCCGCTTGCGAAAGAGGGGGTGAGAGTTCCCGCGGGACGTGAGTTATCGCGAGATGTAACGCTGCATTCGATTCCGTAGTATGGATAAGAGCGCGCGGCGTCGCGAGATTTGGATTTGCTCGTTTACATAAGCGGCACAGCGGGGGATATTGGATTTACTAATTTACATAAGCGGCTGAGCGGGTTTGGATTTGGTAATTTACTTGCGTAACGAGTTTAAAATGCTAATGTATTTGTTTAGAAAAACCTCGCAGGGTCTCAAACATCACTCAACAATCACACTGTGTGTGTGGCCTTCAAAGGGAAAACCAACAGGCGACGTTTCGAGCAATGGCCCTTCTTCACAGCAACATAGAGAGAGGTCTGCAAAGTGTAAGTCATGAGTGTCAGGATTTGGTTAACGAGACGTTCCTCCCAGACAGCCACAAGTATATGAATGTTTTAAATTAATTATTTGACATCAGTTATCTATTGAAACATATAGAGCAGACTTCGATTATTGGAAATTTTTACCCCAAAAAATATAGTACTTATTTAAAAAAAAGTAATCGCTGTCCAAAAATTAAAAAAATAACAGCTAGCAGAGGATGGTTTCGATCCATCGACCTCTGGGTTATGGGCCCAGCACGCTTCCGCTGCGCCACTCTGCTTGGCGATTCAACCCACCTCACACGACCGCTATATACACAACAACAACACAACAACAATACGCACTCTCACACATACTGCCATGGCTTTGTATGTGATACTCTTACGTTTTTTCGGTAAAGTCACGTGGGTAAAAATAAATAATAAAATCAATAGAATAACTAATAATACAAATTTTACATATTCATATTTTTTTTTCTTTCTTTTTACCTACGTGACTTTACCGAAAAACTAAGAGTATGAATCCTTGCAGTCACGAAAGCTTCAAATCTAGAATTTGTATGTGATGTTGAATTTTTTCACACCGCACATTGCCAACCGCGTTAATCGGAGGTGTGCGGTGGAAGGACAACAAACTAAACACAAGGCAGTTCTAAAGAAATTAGCTTTCAATCTATTTTTAAAATACTGTGGCATTAATAATACGTTTACCCCTTCTTCAAAGCACATACATTAAACTAATGTACGTACTGTATGTTGAACTTCTTTCGCACCGTACCTAGCTAACCGTACTAATAGCACACACACGCACTTTACCCAGTCAACATTCAACGTTGCATCAACGTTGGCACGCTACTGGAACAGTTGACCCGACGTTGCTTGTTCACTCGATGTGCCATGAAGAAGGGCCACTGCCCGAAACGTCACCTTTTGTTATTTTGAAGGCCACGTGTTATTATTGATCAGTGAGGATGTTCATTGTGCGTGTCCACCACTGCCCAACGCAGCAGCAGTATAGCCCAATATGTGAACTCTTATTGTTGAGCTGTGGATTGATATTTGTTGATATTTTATTTTATACTTTGTGTATATGTTCGATTTTCGACAACACATTATATGACGTATTTAATACGTCCTCAATTATTAACAAAATATGAAATAATGTTCGATCGTTAACAATATAATGTATGCTGCACATTAACACAACTGATCAATCATAATTTGAATATTGGTCATGCAAAATAAAAAAAATGATAATCCGTGACATATTAAATCCACAGGTATTAGACATGGTATATAATGTATAAATATCCTGCTTTTAAATGTTGAAAATCGAATATATATATAAACAATCAAACATAGCAGCGTGTATGTTGAACTTATTTCGCTCCATACAGAGCCAATCGTGCTAATATATCATACTACAATCAAGTTCAGTTTCTTCGCCAATAACTCTCCAACCTGATTCGCTTTCAGCTGACACAACAATCAATGTATCAATACTCAATGAATCGTTTCGTTTTGTGTCAAACTATCGAACCCATGTCCAACAGAGTGGGGCCTATACACGTCTGGCAGTTCACCAGAATGAATCGATTTGTTCTAGCGAGCCTGGCCGCTGACGAGACACTGCATTCCGATTACCGTGGGGAAAGAGCTTCATAGCTTATCGGATTCCTCCGGTATCAATACATCTTTAGATTCTGAAAGTCGAAACCGGTCCAGAGTTTTGATTGTTGAACCAATGCTGCTGAAACGTGGGATGTGTAAAGACATAGTTTAGTGGTGTGGAAGGACAGATGTGGGATTGGAGATATAAGCAGGACTGTCTCGCTTATCTCTTACATTCTTTGCATCCATAATCTACATAAGGGACGACCTCACCCAACCCCTCCCCTCACCCCGCCCCTCACCCCCCTATCCCTCCCCTCCACCACCCCACCCCGCCCCTCACCCCCTACCCCTCACCTCACCCCCTACCCCTCCCCTCCACCACCCCACCCCGCCCCTCACCCCCTACCCCTCCCCTCCACCACCCCACCCCGCCCCTCACCCCCTACCCCTCCCCTCCACCACCCCACCCCGCCCCTCACCCCCCTATCCCACCCCTCCACCACCTCACCCGCCCCTCACCCCCTACCCCTCCCCTCCACCACCCCACCCCGCCCCTCACCCCCTACCCCTCCCCTCCACCACCTCACCCGCCCCTCACTCCCCTACCCCTCCCCTCCACCACCCCACCCCGCCCCTCACCCCCCTATCCCACCCCACCCCGCCCCTCCACCACCTCACCCCGCCCCTCACCCCCCTACCCCTCCCCTCCACCACCCCACCCCCGCCCCTCCACCACCTCACCCCGCCCCTCACCCCCTATCCCTCCCCTCCACCACTTCACCCCGCCCCTCCACCACCCCACCCCGCCCTCGGCCACCTCAACCCCAACCACGTGACATCGTCCCTTGCTGTCGCCCCCCCTCAGCGACGGGCCCAACCCCCCCCCCCCGTGTGACGTCACGTGGGGGCGGGGATGTGGGTGGGGGCCTCGACCCTCCCCCCCACAGCCACTGCCCGTCAGCTGCTGTCGTAGCAGCAGTAGGCAGCAGCTGCTGCCGCTGTCAGTCGCTCCTGCTGCAGCTGCTGTTGTTGCTGTTGCTGCAGCTGCTGTTGTTGCTGCTGCTGTTGCTGCTGTAGCTGCTGCAGCTGATGCTGTTGCTGCTGTAGCTGCTGCTGCTGTTGTTGCTGCTGCTGTAGCTGCTGCTGCTGCTGCAGCTGCTGCGGTGCCGCCAAGGATGTCGAGCTCGCTGCTGCTGCTGCCCCCGCTGGGGATGTTTTGATGACGTCCCTGGCGGCTCCCCCTGGCAGCTGAGCGGGTAAGGAGGGGAGCCCTCCCCGTGCCGCTCTCGTCTCTCTCGCTGTGTCCCCCTCGCCACTCTCTCTCATAGCCTTGCCTTCTCGATTCCACCACTGTTAACACACAGTCCGTGTCAATAATACTACTGTGTGGACAACAGACGACGGTTCGGGCAATGTCCCTCCTTCATACGCGTCAACTGTTGTTGCAGCTACTGCGTTACCTTTGACACTTCGATGGTGCTGTTTGTTGCTGGCTGTCTGACGGGGGGGGGGGGGCATTCGACATCCGAACGTGTGCGCTCCATCTCCGTGGCGGACGTGGCCGTGTCTGCTCGGGTGACCGCTCGAGTGACTTAATAGGCGCTCGCTAACTAAGTCACGTGGGGCCCTGTGGCCCAATACCCAACGAGGCCAGCTTCTCCCCCTTCTCGTCGTCGTTGTTGTCTCTTCCGCCGATGAGGTTCAGTGTCTCGAGCTTGCCTGCTTCGTTACGTTGAACCTCCACCGCGGCCGCCGTCACCAGCCCCTGCTCACTCTCCACTGCTGAGTGAGGGCCGAAGCTACTGCTGCTGCCTTCAATTAGCGACCCAAGTTCGCCCTGCGGTGCCCCAGGTTACCCCTGGCTACCTCAGGTTACCCCAGGCTACCCCTGGTTACCCCTGGTTACCCCAGGTTATCCCTGGTTACCCCAAGTTACCCCAAGTTACCCCAAGTTACCCCAGGTTATCCCTGGTTACCCAGTCAGCTGTAGCTCGCAAACGCCCAAGCCACTCCAGACGTTGGCAACGATCGCTCAGTCGCGATTGATTGTTAACTGCCTCATCAATTAGATCGGCCAACTTGGTGACTACCGTCACTGACTAGCCATGGCTAGGGCCTGTCTTGATGACTATCATCACTCTAATTATATTTTGTTAGTAGATAGTAAGTCTCAGTAACTACTGTGAATACTCTGACTGTCTGGGTGACAGCAGTGGCTGACTAGTGACTGTCTGGGTGACAGCAGTGGCTGTCTGGGTGACTGGCTGGGTGACTGTCTGGGTGACTGGGTGACTGTCTGGGTGACTGTCTGGGTGACTGGGTGACTGTCTGGGTGACTGGCTGGGTGACTGTCTGGGTGACTGTCTGGGTGACTGGGTGACTGTCTGGGTGACTGTCTGGTGACTGGCTGGGTGACTAACTGCGTGACTGTCTGTGTGACTGGCTGGGTGACTGGCTGGGTGACTGGCTGGGTGACTGCCTAGTTGACAGCAGTGACTGGCTGGGTGACTGGGTGACTAACTGGGTGACTGGCTGGGTGAGTGGCTGGGTGACTGGCTGGGTGACTGGCTGGGTGACTGCCTAGTTGACAGCAGTGACTGTCTGGGTGACTGGCTGGGTGACTAACTGGGTGACTGGCTGGGTGACTCGGTGACTAACTGGGTGACTGTCTGGTGACTGTCTGGGTGACAGCAGTGGCTACCTGGTGACTGTCTGGGTGACTGTCTGGGTGACTAACTGGGTGACTGGCTGGGTGACTGGGTGAATAACTGGGTGACTGGCTGGTTGACTGTCTGAGTGACTGACTGGGTGACTGTCTGGGTGACAGCAGTGGCTACCTGGTGACTGGCTGGGTGACTGCTCACCAGGCAGGGCTGCAGGGTCACGTGGCGGGGGTCGTCGTCACGAAGCTCCCTGACTCGCTGCTGCGGTGTCAGGTGACGCGCCCACAGGTCGGGACACGTTCACAAAGCCTCTCAGTGTCTCCCTGAGCCTCACAAAGTCTCCCCGAGCCTCACTGTGGCTCACAAAGTCCCCCCAAGTCTCCCCGAGAGTCTCACAAAGTCTCCCCGAGCCTCACTGTGGCTCACAAAGTCCCCCCGAGTCTCCCCGAGAGTCTCACAAAGTCTCCCCGAGCCTCACTGTGGCTCACAAAGTCCCCCCGAGTCTCCCCGAGAGTCTCACAAAGTCTCCCCGAGCCTCACTGTGGCTCACAAAGTCTCACAAAGTCCCCCCGATTCTCCCCGAGAGTCTCACAAAGTCTCCCCGAGCCTCACTGTGGCTCACAAAGTCTCACAAAGTCTCCCCGAGCCTCACTGTGGCTCACCGAGTCTCACTGTGGCTCACCGAGTCTCCTCGAGTCTCCTGAAGTATCCTCGTGTCTCACTGTGTGTCTCCGTGTCTCACAGTGTGTCCCCGTGTCTCACTGTGTGTCCCCGTGTCTCACTGTGTGTCCCCGTGTCTCACTGTGTGTCCCCGTGTCTCACTGTGTCCCCGTGTCTCACTGTGTGTCTCCGTGTCTCACCGTGTCTCACTGTGTGTCCCCGTGTCTCACTGTGTCTCCGTGTCTCACTGTGTGTCCCCGTGTCTCACAGTGTGTGTCCCCCGTGTCTCACTGTGTGTCCCCGTGTCTCACCGTGTCTCACTGTGTGTCCCCGTGTCTCACCGTGTCTCACTGTGTGTCCCCGTGTCTCACTGTGTGTCCCCGTGTCTCACTGTGTGTCTCCGTGTCTGTCCATGTCATGTCACTGCGTCTCCCCATGCGTCCCGTGTCTTTATGTGTCTACAATTGTCTCATGCTCTCGCCTCGTTTGTCTGTGTTACTCCGTGCCTCTCCGTGTCTCCCTGTCTCTCTCCCTTCATATCCTTGACGTTTCAGACGTATACCCGTGTCTCCTCGTGTCTCCCCACGTCTGTTCCCCCCATCTCCCGGTGCCTCTTCATTTATCTTCCCGTGTGTCTGCCCCCACCTCTCCGTACCTTCTCCTGTCCCCCCGTGTATCTCCTCACTCCGCGTGTCGCCTCCTCCTGCGTGGTGGTGTTGTTGTTGTTGCTGCTGCTGTTGTTGTTGCTGCTGCTGCTGTTGTTGTAGTGGTTTGCGCGCCGGTCATGGCTACAGGCAGAGCGTTGGCCGAGCTGGCACGGCCTTGGTGGCCTGCTGCTGCTGGGGGGGATCTCAGAGAAGAGGCGGCTGTGTTAGTGGCGAGCAAAACACATAAGGTGTGCATTGTGTGAGTGCGTGCGGTGCGCGTGCGTAAAAACTACGCGCGTGTGTGTATAGTGTGTGTCCGTGTCCGTGTGTGGCTGCGGTGTTGCAGTGGAGTCGAGTTGCACCGCGCTACGAACCTCAGCCGGGTCCTGGGCCTCCGGTAGATACACTCAGCCTGAATTGAGCAGCCGTGCGGCCGTGCGTGGTGCTGGCCACGCCACCTCCTCGTGTGCCGTGCCGGCTGTCTTCACAGGCGGAACCCCCCAACAGCCTCTGTTGAAGGCGAGGCAGGGGGGTCCATGCCTGTGTGTGGTGGCACAAAGCCCCGGAGAGAGGAGGGAGCGACGCGTGGCCTTGGCGAGGCCACGTTGTGTCTCTGCATCAGCGGCGTAGACACCCTTCCTAGACGACTTGCAAAATGCCGCTGGCGGGCAACATCAACTACAAATCCCCCATACGGACTTCACAAGACGTGGGGCAAGTGCCGTTCGCGAGCACCTGTGAAGGCCGGATTAGCGCAACTAGGGGGAGGTGTAGCCAACGCCTCGCCCAACCGCCTTTGTCTCCCCGGTGCTGATGTCTTATACACACACGCTGCACGAGCTGGTCATTTAAGGCTGAGTCGACCTAGCGGAGGCCCAGGAGCAGCTCGGATATTCGCTGTCACTGAATTTTGGTCGGGGAGTGGGAATTGAACTCGAGTCGGAGGGCAGCGCGCTAACCACTGTGCCACCGCTCCCCACTCTAGCAGTGAGTGCGGTTTACTGAGCACACCAACACGAGAAATTCAGTGTCACCACCTCAAAACTACTGCCCGTTTGTGCCCAATTAGTGCCGCTAATTTGCTTATTGCAGCGACCTGGATTAATGTAACTTTTGGGCCATTTGTAAGTGGTAGACCGTGCGATGTGAAGTCCTAAAACTTAACTTCATACGGTACGCAGCCACGAGGCATTCATCTGAAATGCAGCCCAGTGAACTTGGCCCATCACCATCATTATCACCACCGCCACCACCATCATCATCTTTGATGTGCCAACGCTTTGATCCCCACCTGGAAGAACTCTAGTTTCTCGCACTGCAAAATTGCCTTGCAAACGAATGACTCTGTCGTCATGGAGACTTGCGACAGGCACCGGGAGCCAGGTTCACTCCCTCCTGCCTCTCTCACTGCACCACGCTCCGATCGGTGTGTTCCTGCAGTCAGAATTTTAAGACGTTTCTCTCCCTTCAATTTATATCTCTCTCTCGTGCCTTTGAAAGTCCTCTTTACGTTCAACTTGTGCGCGTAAAAAATATAATAACGAATGAATGGCTTGGCCTGGAGGCGGTCCCCGATGTTGATGATGACTACGTGCTGCCCTTCCCAGGGCGCTTGTCGCCTTATCAGTCAGTCAAGTGTCAATTGGCGCTGCCGTGGGGGGTCCAATGGAGCGGTGGGCTCAGCGGTTAACGCGCTTTGCGCTACGAACCCGGCGACCTCAAGATGACGTCGGTGATATCTGACCCGGCCCTGGGCCCACACGCTAGCCGGCGTGGTGAAGTATGGTCAACCAACCGCACGCTCCACCGCTCGCCTCATTCATTCAGCAGCGGATTGCCAGACGGCTGTAAATGGTAATGATTATAATTATGGATACCACCGGCGTAGGATCTCCTAGGGCTGCTCAAGGTCTAACATGAGATAAAGGCGCAGCCCTGCAATTGCTTTGCTCACGTCACCGTTGGCGGAAGAGCCCTCTAACTTAGCCAACTCTAGAGGGGTGTATTGAGTCTACTCGCCCACGTTGATCTCACGTGGTCGGGGAAAAAGGTGAGCGTGCCCACACTTCACCCCACCACCACACGCCGCCCGACCTCCTGCTCATAAACTTACCGTGGTGGACTCCGTTTACACCGCTGGGTGGACAGAGGCGGCGGGAGCGGGAAGGCGGGCGGAGGGAGATTGTGGGAGGGATGTTGAGAAATCTGTACCACCGTTTCAGCTGCTGCGCCGGGAGATAGGAGCACGCGGCTGGCTGTCTGGCTGGTGCGAGTGGCTGCGTGACCAGGTGGCTTGTGGGTCGTCTAACCTCGTGGCCAGGTGGCTTGTCTAACCTCGTGGCCTGTCTAACCTCGTGGCCGGGTGCCGTGTGGGCTGGCTGGTGCGAGTGGCTGCGTGGCCAGGTGGCTTGCGGGCTGGGTGGGCAATCCGTCGTGAAAACGCCAAACAAGCTGACGATAATGTCTCCTCTTCGACGTATCATAATCCGTCTCTCCACGTAATACAAATACGAGAATTCGACCCCCACATCCCGTGAGCCGCACGTGCACGGCCTTCGTTCCTGGAGTGGGTTACGTTCAGCAGCATTGATTCAAGACGAGCAACATCTCTGGACCGAGTCAGGCTCGCTTGCATCAATGCTGGTGAACTGCCAGATGTTTATAAGCAAGGACCGGTTTCGATAATCAGTGTCTCATAAGGAGTAGAGTTAGGCTCCCTTGAAACAACGCTGTCGAACAGCCGGTCTTACAGGCAATGCCCCCTATATTTACGATATGGGTCCCAGTTATATCTTATCAATAAACCCTGGCAATACCTGAGATACACCTGATTGGATTGGTATGCCGGGAGATTGTCTTGGCTCGGAGCCCACCCCCATCTCGGTAGTGTCCTGGTTAATGTTTTACTGGCCCCCTCTCTCCCCGTGCCGGCCGTGTCGTGACCCCTGGCTTTTGTTTGTGCGGCAATTCACGCCGCCTCCTGCCACCGCGTCTGTGCCCAGTCAACGTATCCACGGCGACCCCCGGGGCCCACAGAGGCCGCGTCTTCACCGCCTCCGCCGCCGGCTGGACCCGGGGCGTGCCGGGCCCGCTCCCTATCCCGCGAGCCTGGCCGCTCCTCCATCCGGACTCCTTTGTCTCCCCGTCGCTCATTTTTGCGCAACGCACCGCCCGCGTGGTTTAAGGCCGAGTCAACGTAGGTGCGGGGCCCAGAACCACCTCCGATATCAATGCGGAACTTTAGAAGTGTAACCCCCCCCCCGCCACCTCTTGAGCGTGCAGGGTTTTCTCCGAGATTCGCCCGACTCCTCCCGCACGAAAGCGAACGTTCGTTTCGCGGGATCGGTGAAGCATCCCGACGCGGCAGGGGGACCCCTCCTGGCAAAGGGGGGGGGGGGACTCGGCGAGGCTTTCCGCGGGCTGACAAGCAACGAGGTGGGGGGCATTGCTGCCTTGAGCCCCCACACTTGTGCTGGGTCGAGTAATGATTACCCTGGGCGTGCGGGAGAGAGAGAGCGAGGCTTGTAGCGTCCATTCACGCTTGACCACACTCGCCCCTCTCTCCGATGAGAGGGGGGTTGGGGGTGACTCAACGCGACTCAGGAGAGCCGCGTGGACTCGGCTGAGCAATTCTGTCACAGCCCCCCCCTCCCCCACTCGGCCACTCAACCGCCGCTCCCGGGGGACGTGGGGGTGGCGATGCGGCGATGAATGCCCCCCCCCACCCCCCGTCGCAAACCGTCGGCTTTGTCGTTGGCAGGGGGCTGCGTCTGCAGTGTGGCCGCGATCCGAGCGGAGGGAGCGAGGGGGAGAGGGCAGCGGTCGGCGGATGACACCACGAGAGCTCCTCGCGTCGTTGCCGCCCGGCGCGGCGCTCTGACGGCGAAGAAGGAGGAGGAGGACGAGGAGGAGGAGGTGCAGGCGAGGAGGATCGAGAGAGGGCGAGCGGCAGCCGGCCGAGGAGGTGGCGTGGGGATGTGAGGGCCCCTGAGCGGGGGGGGAGGGGGTTTCTCGACACGGACGGAGGGAACGTCCCGATCAAAGCGTCCGCCTGGATTTTCGAGTGACCCTCGAGACCCGAGTGATCGTCTGGATCGAATGATCGTCCGGATTTTCGAACGATCCTGGAGACTCGAGTGACCATCGAGACTCCGAAGTAATCATCCAAATTCGCGTGATCCACCGGATTACCACCAAGTCGTCGTGCGGACGTTCAGCGTTCAGCGGCGATATCTGCTGCCACCGGATCGCCCCTCTCACCCCCCCCGCCTCTCGCCGTCCCACGCTGGCCCCCCACCCCGTCGGCAGGGCCCCCCCGTCGCGCGCGACCCCCAGGGTGGGCGAGGATGAGCTGCCTGTGTGGGGGTGGCGAGGAGGAGGAGGAGGAGTTCTACTGCGAGGTTCTGCTGCTGGACGAGACCACGCTGCAGCTCACGTCCCAGCAGCACGGAGTCAAGGTGAGGCACGCGGGGTGGGGGCCGCAGGGGAGCGGTGTCAGGCGGACAGGTGTGATGTGTGCAGGTGTGGGAGCGTCGTGTATACACCGAGAGTTGGGGTGTGCGACAGCGTGCTGTGCAGGGGTGCGTGTTTTGGGTTTGGAAATGTCCACGGGTGTACATCATGTACATTGTGTACATCGTGTACATTATGTATGCGTGTGTGTTCAGGCGTGGCGTGTTCATGCGTGGCCAGGTGTGCATCGTATTTGTGCCCGAACCCCATGTGGACATACTAGCCCTCGTTATAGCAACGTGGAATTTCCAATTCTGGATTAAAGACAACTCTCCTGTGCTCACTTGAGCATCATCATCATCGTCATCAGCAGCATCAGTAGCAGCAGCAGCCATGGTCAATCCACTTCTAGATGAAGGTCTTCCCCAAGCCGCCCACGATCATCTCTCACGATCCTGCGATGTGACGATCCACCGTCGCCGCTCCGTCTCCTCGGTGGAGGTCTCCTCCGACGCGTTCCGTTTCCCTCGGCCGTCACTCCACCCTTGAGCTCGATCATCGGGGGGGGGGGGCACCGTCCCACCTCCAGCCGTGGCTAGACGCGTCCCTCCCCGAGCCAGCGCCCACAGCCGGTGCACAAGGACTCGTCAACAACAACATCAACAACAACATCAACAACAACATCAACAACAACAATAACACATTCATCAATAACAACACCGTGTGTCCGTGGCCTCAGCCCCAAACGAGCAGCTGGTGTAGCGGTGCGTAGTAAACATCGCCACTGGGGAGACAAAGGTGGCCGGGAGTGGTGCTGGCCACCCACCCCCTTCTGTGCCATGCCGGCCTTCATAGATGCTGCTTGCTAGCAGCACTTGCCCCAGCAGTCTGTTGAGGCTACACGGAGGGGGGGCCTTAAAAGAGGGAACATATAGGCCCTTCTCCACAGCGCACATTTTTTGATGAACTCCGAAGAAGGTTCATTTCCCGAAACGTCACCTGTCATTATGTTCTCTCTTCTCAGGCCACACGCCTGCGTCGGCCTGTCCTGACAGACCGACGCCATGAACCTGGCCGCTCTCCCTAATCCGCGTTGCCTTTCTGCTGCTGTCTCTCCAAAGTGCATCCTCGGCAGGGACGCGTCTCCCTCTCCGCACGTCTTTGTGTTCACTCTGCGGTTTTCGTGTTTTGTAAAGGACCGGACGCGACGCGGGGGAGGCGGTACATACCGACGTGTAAAAGACAAACAACTTTCATCGAGACGCGACCTTGACATCTGCACTCCGGACGAACCCCCAGAGAGAGAGAGAGAGCGGCTCACGTTTGAACTTTTTTTGACGAACAAAAACAAATCTGGGTTGGTGCAGCTCGGTGTGGCGCAGCGGTGGCCAGGAGTCTGCGTGACGCCGCACAGATCTCACGGCAAAGTCCGCGGCAGTCACCAGATTTTTCTCTCAGCCGAAAACCGGCGCGGTTCGGTGGCGATGGCGCTTCGGTTCCTGCTGCTAAAAGGGCGTCCGTGAACGGAGTCGCTGAGGACCGCGGGGTCATGGAGCCACGAGGTCATGCAGTCATGGGGGTCACCGGGTGACCGAGATGACCGGCATATGCACCACCTGTGCTCCCCGCTGTGCCAACTCGCCGCGTTTTATCGGTCCGGCACTCCGCTCATTGTTGTGAGCGTCACTCCTCTGTCCTGCGTTGTTGTTGGAGGGTGACTGCCTCCAACTGTCCAGTCACAGCGTCCTTCACGAGCCTCCTGCGTAGAGGCCAATCTTGACACCGCTGGTACCATTCATCTGCAAGTCCACTCAGCTCCACATCCTCCTGTACCACATCAGTTAATCTCTTCTCTAGCCCATGCCACACCCGTTACAACTGCAGACACACAAAGACAAATATCCCCCATATAGCCTTTAACAGACTGTTGGGCCAAGTGCTATTATCAAGCACCGATTAAGACTGGAATGGCACACGAGGGGGTGGGTGGCCAACACCACACTCGGTCGGCTTTGTAATTCACACACACACCAAGACAAAAACACACAGTCTCAAACACTCTCACACACTCACTTACCCACGCGCACACACTCACTCACACACTCACTTGCCCACGCATTCAAAGACAAAGACACACACGCTCCCACATTCTCACTTACGCACACACGCTCGCACACTCGCACATTCTCATTCACTCAATCGCACACACACACAGCTCCCAATCGCTCAAAGACAAAGATGTCCCTCAAAGCCTTTAACAGACCATTGGAGCGAGTGCTGTTAGCGAGCACCTACGAAGGCCAGGACGGCACACGAGGTGGGTGGGTGCCCATCAACACCACGCCCGGCCGCCTTTGTCACTCACCCACACACACGCACGCACACCCACACACACTCTCACTTACACACACACACAGACCTACTCCTCCTCCTTCTTCACGCCGGCTTTGTTCCCCTGACAGCCCGGGCCGTGGAATGCGTGGCGGTGGTGACGGCGGCCTCCCCCGAGCGCGATGAATGGGCGGCCGCGCTCCGACCGGGCCACTGAAAAGGAGAGAGGCATTCCTCTCCAGCCAGCCCCACACTCGTGGGGGGGGGGGGGGGGGTAGTGGGGGGTAGTGGGGGGTGGTGCTCAACACAGACCTCTTCATTATGTGCCTGTTCCGAGGTGCAAAGTGAGTTATCGCGCACGGTGCGTTTCCCCCGCGCGTTTTGCCCGAGGGGGTTTTTGTTGTAGTTTTTGTTTTTTGTGTTTAAAGGGGTTGCACGCTATGACGACGACGACGACGACGATGCAGAAGGGTCGTTGCCCAGAACGTCGCCTGTTCCGGTAACATCGACGTGTGACGCGCCACTGCCGCCGTAAAGATTCGGGAGGTGCGCGGAGGAACCGCGGACGAGCGGGAAGGCAGCAGCAGCGATGAGCCGGCGCTACCAGTAATTGCCCAAGCTCCCCGGTCCTCTATATATACTGGACGTGTCATCACGGCCAATGTGTACGTTGTTTATACAAGTGGGAGGAATCCGTAGCACCTGGAGAGCACCCACGCGCGAGAAACACTCAGTCCCCGTACAGACGGAGCAGGTGCAGTGCACATTGTGCAGCACGGCATCCTGGCAAGCTGGGGTACGGCTCCTCCTCAACGCCCGCCACGAGGGGGGTTGGAACAGATGGGGATTAGTCCACACTTTGCTGTACTGCCGGCTCCTGGCAGGGCCAGGGTTACGGCTCCCCCTCGACGTCCACGGGGAAGGGAGTTTCACACCATCTGTGCGTGCTCCACCAACCCTCGCTGCTGTATCACAGGCAGCCACGTGCAGCGTAGCCACCACTGCGTGGTGTGTGCGTACCGACTCTTACGTATACTTTCCCGTTCAGGTTCCGTAATTTTTGAAAAACTGGCGATACCATTGATTGATTTATACGGGAGGGTGCTGCGTTGGGTTGTTGGTTCAGCTGTTCTGCATTTATTTTACATAGGTTTTAAATGTTCACGATAATGTCAATAGCAATGATTGATGAGGACGTGAATTTGCCCGTGACCAGGTCACCCAGAGAGCTTGAAATCTCATCAGATCCCAGAAGCTAAAGCTGGTTTGGGCCTGGGCTGTGATGGGCGACCCCACCGTGCTATGTGGTGGACAGCAGAGGTTGGGTGAGTGGGTGGGCGAGCGGTCGGTGGGTGGGCGAGGAGTGGGTGGGTGAGTGGGTAGGTAGGTGGGTGGTGAGAGATGTACAGAAGCAGTTAGTGCTGTGCTGCGCTGCGTTACAAACCCACGAACCCACTTGTGGCCAACGTTGATGACGAATATCTCCGTACGAATCGGACTGGGGCCTCGCTCTCGGTAGACTCAGCCTTAATTGAGCGCCTGGTGCGGTGCGTAAACAACATCGGCATTGGGGAGACAAAGGGGGCCGAGCGTGGTGCTGGCCACCCACCCCCTCGTGTGCCGTGCCTACATAGGTGCTGCTAGTCGCGAACAGCACTTGCCCCATCAGTCTACTGACGGTTATAAGGGGAATCTTTGTGTTTATCTTTGGTGAGGGATAGGTGGGAGTATTGTGAGTTGGATGTCGTGAATGTGGGCCTGGCAAGAGTGGAGGATTTAGCCAGGGGTTCATGTCAGCTGGGTCCACCCGGCACACCACATCCAGTATATATCCCGTAGTTGGCTCTAACTGCTAGTCACATGCCATCTACTCCAGCCTACCAGCGACCCGGGAAATACCCAGTGGACAATTTAAGCCCTGAGCCGGCGTCACTCGTAATGCATCTGCAGGCGTGACAGTTTGGCGCGACGGACATTCCACGTGCCTATGACGGGAGCTCGGCTGCTTCTCGCACATTACCGCGGCCGCTCTTGACCTCGGCGAAAGTGGCGGTGTCGGCTTGCGGTGAACCCTGGGGGGGAACAGCGGGGCGACCGTAAGAGAGGCCGCACTTGAGAGCCTGTCAGGGAACACTCAAGTGGCTCTCTCTCGCGCCTCTCGCTCTCTCCCCGGGGCGTGGGAGAGCAGAGGAGAGGGGGGTGCGGGGCAGGAGTGCACCCGGTGAAGGGATACCAGGGGGCCCGTTGGGGAGTGTACGCGACAGGGGTGTGAAACCATCGCCTTTCCGAGGACCGAATACGACATTCAAGTATCTTTGGCGGAGTGCTGAGATTAACTAGCAGCCATGAATGCCGGCAAGGCAAACGAGGGAGTGGGTGGCCTGGACCACGCACACCCGGCCGCCTTTATCTCTCCAGTGGCCATGTTTCACGCATCGCACCAGGTACTCGTTTGAGGCCGAGTTGACCTAGGAGAGGCCTAGGGCTGGTTCATATATTTACTGTCACTTGTGTTGGCCGTGAGCAGGAATCGAATTCGGGTAGCCGGTTTCGTAGCGCAGTGCGTTAAACCGCTGCGCCACCACCCTCCACTTTGGCAGAAACCACACGTGAACACACACACGCACCGCGGCGTCATCCAACAACACGCGAACAACATATATTCCCGCACTAG